AACAATAGGAATCAACGCGGCCGTGACCACCCTATAAAAACCCAACCCGCGGTTTGTTCGGTGCACATTCTGCCTGTGCAGTTTCTGCGCGCTATTTTCTGCTGACAACTTTTCGTTAATCCTCCGTTATGACGGTCCAGCAGCCGTTCTTGACCCTGAACAGCGGTTATAAAATTCCCCAGGTTGGCTTGGGGACATTTATGGTTTTTGGTTTAAGTATATTTAACCATTTTTAGGCACCCCCTAACGAAGTGGAAAATGCTGTTCTAACTGCGATTGATACGGGTTACCGCCACATCGATTGTGCCTATATATACGGAAATGAATGTGAGGTCGGAAATGCCCTGAAGAAAAAATTTGATGATGGAACGATAAAACGTCAGGATGTCTTCATCACATCAAAGGTAACCGATCGCGAATTTAATACGGATGCATACATCCATAACTATAGTTATGGTGTGATGCCCATCGCTTGAAAGATGTGCGTCCAGCATGCGAAAAAAGCTTACGCATGCTGGGACTGAAATATTTGGATCTTTATCTTGTCCATTGGCCCGTTTCCTTCCATGTTAGTTTACCTCGTCGCGGCTATATATTCTTAGGTCAAAGAGGGCAGGAAATTCTCTAGAGACGATCCAGATGCGTTGGAATATGAAGAGGTACCCTTGGAAGAGACTTGGAAGGTCAGTTTACCTATAACACTCCAAAGTTATATTTCGATAACAGTTTGTAGTCTTAAAAATACAAATTTGTAGTTGATGCATTACTGTCAGTTGTCGGCCGCATGTTAACTACCGATTACGTGTGTTATCTTTTCCGAATAGTACCATTGCAATCCTCAAATTTGTACACTGCCGCATGCTTATTAAACCAGTTTTCTTGTTATACGTGTCTCCTCAGCCCTTTAGTTAGATACTTGCTAGTGTTCCAGTGATTCCTCTGATGGTTCTATACTTTCCCCGTCATTTTCGTTGATATCTGTATAGGGTATGGAGGCCCTCGTTGAAGCTGGTCTCGTGAGGTCGATTGGTGTTTCTAACTTCAACAAGGCTCAGATTGAACGAATTCTGGCCATTTGTAAAATTCCTCCCGCGGTAAATCAAATTGAGGTTTCGGTGAACTGGCTAAATGATAAAATGATCGAGTACGCCCACTCCAATGGCATTCAGATCACTGCTTTCTCCCCATTCGGCTCTCCCGGTCTCATGACGTGCGTTTTCATACTGTCTCCTTTACGATTTCCTTACTTGGCTGTCTAATTGGATAAACATTAACCTTTTAAGCTTTTCATAGTATATTTATGGAAAAAATTCGAGTCTCCGAATAAGATAATGAATCTTAGTTTATGCGGCAACGTTTTACCTTTAGCGTCAATCGTATGCAATAGTTAATTGCGATTACTGTCACGTCAACGGTTATGAAAAGTCCTTTGTACGCAAGTTTCTTAAGAAGCCCAACCATGAGCGATCGAAAGGAGAGGACCCTAAGTTCTAGCTCGTAATCTCTTATATGAAGAATGTATCAGAGGCGGCTGCAAGACTCCTGAAACCATTCGGGATCGGTGTGGCTCATAGGCCGGAATCAACCATCAGACAGCAGATCATGAGGCCCAAAGATCCACTACTTTTGACAGAACAATCAGCTATGGTCTACAGCATATCATGTCAAGACTGCACTGCAAGGTATGTCGGTGAAACGGGCAGACGCCTAGGCACAAGGTTGCATGAGCATCAGCTCGCAATCAACCGCGAGGATAAGTTGTCTTTGGTTTATGACCAAGTACAGCAGAAGAGCCACACATTCGTCTTTGAAAAAGCAAGGGTAGTAGGCCGAGCTAACGAAAAGATGGCCAGATTGCTGCTAGAAAGTTGGTCCTCGACTGGCGCACTAAAAGGCGCCATGGACCTTCATCCCGTCTACCAAGCGCTCCGCAGAAGGCTAACATCGG